GGGCCAGCTCTGGGCGGACGGCAGCAGGGCTCCAGCTCTTGTGGCTGGGCTGGCGATTAAGCCCGAGCTAGGTCCCTGCTGCCCGGGCCTACCACCACACTTACTCTTGCTCTTTGCCTCGAGCAGCTGCAGCGCTTGGCTGCCCTGGTTGGACTCCTCGATGTTCTCCAGCTTCACGGGAGCCTCGGGCTCTAGGCAATAAAAGGGTTAAACATTACTTCTTCTTCAGCAAGACCTAAAGCCTGTCCAGCCCTGCCACCAGGCATCCCCTACGCAGCGGCAGGCACGCGGGGGGAACCTCTGCCCTCGGCAGCAGGCGGGCATTCGCCCGTGCCAAAAGCGTCACCGGTTTCAGGTGGCAACTTGGACGGCCGCTTCACCCCGGCTGCCTTCAAGGGCGCTGCCGTTTTGTGTCCGCTCTTGCTCGCCTCCTCCCAGAGGCCCCTTGGGCACAGCAGCTTCTGGGGAGGCTGGGGCAGAGCTGAGATGTGCAGGCAGCCCTGGGCTGCCCTCGGGTGTGCTGGGCTCCTTGGCCACCGCCCCGGTGCGGGGCTCCCGGGCCTGGCTGGACTTCCTGGACTGGTGTCCGTAGCCCCGTGGTTCCTGGCACGGCAAACCGGGGGCTCGCGAGGGGCTTCCCGCTCCCCTCCTCGCTGGCTTCAAACACAAGTCTCTTACCATCACCCACGGCCTGGCTCTGGCCACGTGCTCCCCAACCTGCCGTGGGTCACCCCTCTCGCTGGGGAGGGCTCTGGCGAGCAGGACAGATGCTAGGTCTGCCCCAGGAGAGGCGATGGGGCCCTGTCCTCCTCTACCACCCCGCAACCTCACGGCAGCCTGCCCTGTTATCCTGGCGGGGAGGGAGGAGCTGGCACTGGGTGACAGATGGAGCTAAAAGAGAGCAGAGCACTCACGTGTCTTCACAGTGATGGATTTGCTCAGCGAAGTGCCGAACTTGGCGCTGATCCTCCCTCTGCCGTCCACCAGCTCGGTGAACCTGGGAGAGGACGGGGGTGAGGGTGGGAAGCGCCCCGTGCCCCCCCCGGCCCCGGCTGCCCAGCAAGCCTCCACGGGAGGCAGCTGGATAAAACGCTCGCAGGGGGATGGAGGCACGGTGTGATGCTAGCATCGGTGTGCCAGGGGCTTTGCTTTGTCACAGTTAAGGAGGAAGGACAGATAATTTCTGGTAGCGCTTTGGAAGCAGGAGAGCACCCCTGTCCCCTGCTGGCACCCGGTTTCTGACAGTGTGTTGTGCTCACAGCGCAGCTCCCCCTGTCACTGCGCTTGCTGCAGGGGTTCACGGAAGGGCTGCGGGTGCTGCTGCCAGGCCAGCACCTACCTGGGGGCTGGCGAGGGCTCCTCAGCCGTGTCGTGATCTGCTAGTAAGCGGAGTTCAGGCAGGAAGGCTGGGGGCAGCCTGTTGCGCAGGACCCGGGGGTGCCCACCTTGGCTCCATCGTCTTTCCGCGGTCCCATCCCTCTGCACTGCAGACCACAAAGGGATTAGGCTTAGCTGGAGGGAGGCAACGAGTCAGCGCAGCAAACAGAGCGTCAGGCTGGTCCTCGTGTCCCCCATGTTACATTTAGGGCTTGCGGGGGACGTGTGCGCTCAGCAGGCATCGTGCGCATCCGAAACGCACGTGTGCCCTCCGCGCGCCCGCAACACCACCCGGATTGCAAGTGCCGGTCCTTCCCCCCATGGGGCATCACTGAGCCGTAACTCTGCCTCCGTGAGTGGGTAACGGAGGCAGCATCAAGCACCCGCTGCCTCCCTTTGCAGGGGACCTACATCCCGTACCAACGGACGGCTGCAGGCACCCGTTTCGGGAGCAGCAAGCCCTCAGGCCCCGTTTCTCCTGCTCTCGGTTGACCAGTTTTGCCTCTCCCTGTTAGCCCATCTCCTCCCTCTCACCTCAGCAAACCTGCTACCGCCCTGCTCCACCCCAACCCCGGTGTAGGGCTCCCCAGGAGCGCTGGAAAGCGAACCGGGCACTCACGGGTGGTGACGTAGAGGTGGATGGGTTCACTGTGCACCTGGCCTTGCTCCGTGTTCTGCACGGCCGTCACGGACAGGCGGTACCTCTGCGCGGGGAGCAGGTCCCGCACGGTGTAGGACACTAGCTTCCCGTTGGGCACGTAGCGGCTCTTGACGCTCTGAGCGGTGGTGACGTTGATGATGTACCCCTCCACGGCGCCGGCAGGCGGCTGCTCCCACGTCATGTAGACGGAGGTGGCACTGACGCGGGAGGCGGTGAGGTTTCTTGGCGGAAGAGGTCCTGGAGCAGGAGGCAAGTGGGGAGAAAGGGGGTTCGAGCTGGGGTCCTTGAATAGCGACCGCGCTGTTTAGCTCCACACAGGGCTGAGCTCGTGCTGGCCTTGGGCCGTAAACAACATCTGGTGGAGGAGGTTGTGCAGGCACATCGCCTCCCCTTCCCAGGAGACGCAAAGCCATGGCAGCTGCCCGTACCCCCTCCTACCCACAGCCCCACTGGAGGCAGCACTGTGGGGGGCACCCAACGGGGCTGTGGAGCCAGCAATCCCTGTACTACAAACCAGGGTGCTCAAGATGATGCTACTAGTCCTCGGGCTGCTCTGGGATCTGCCCTGGGGCTGATGGTGCTGTGGAGCCACCTCCATGGGTGCCAGAGGACAAGTGTGTCTCCACTCTGGTCTGGGTGTCCTGGCCAAGCTTAGCCAGGGGCCTGGGATGGAGGTCACCAGCACAAGCTGTTGTGCCCTGCGGTTTCCAGCGCATGCCAGTCCCAAGCCGAGTCCTGCCATCCTGGCACAGGCAGGAAGAGGCCGCCCTC